AGATTTTAAAACATTAATCTCAATTCAATATTTCATGTCCCCGTATCTATATATTATTATAGGTAAACAAAAAAAAATCTGTGTAATAAGCTAACTATGAATATACAATACATTATCCCTTAAATGTCAACCTGATAGGTTGAACGTTCGTTCGTCTTGGCTCAAAGCCACTTGGTGAGAAATTTTCTTCGCGGAAGCTTTGCGTTAATTACAAGTGAGATAACGAAATATTTAATCTCGAATCAATATTTTTTGTCCGATTATTTGCCCAGTTAGTTTTGGTATTAAGGTAAAAGTTACCTTGCATTTGCTATATAACAGTGGGTGGTGGTTCAATGGCTGCTATTTAAAACAGTGGTATTAATTTGTTACTTTTTCAAAATCATTGATATATTATTAATAACAACAACCACTTGTATTTTTCTCTTATTATTTTCATCAACAATATGGTTTAGTAATTAAAATCATTTAATTATTGTCCGTGCAGAGGCTATTCCGTTTTATTGATCTATGGCGCATTCATTTTGATTCTTTACACGTGTAATGATGTCCAGTGACTTGTTTGCATTATTTATGCATTATTTTATTTATTTGTAAGACTTTTTTATGACTAAATTTGGTAATGGGAGAGTAAAATTATTTTTTAAACGTACACCGTTCAAACTAGGCTGCTTATGTTGAAGTGTTTGGGATGTGGCTTTTAATGATGAGACCTTTTTTGTAATCAGGCTCTCAAAAAGTATATAACAATTTGGATATAGATTTATCGGCCAATATATCGGTTATCGGCTTTCAAAAATAAAGAATAATCGGTTATCGGTATCGGCCAAAATTTTCATATCGGTGCATCCCTAAAAACAACAACAACGTTGCATGCTGCTTCTGCGTCATACTGATGCTGGTTGGACAGGATTTATCGCGAGTTTTCAAAATCGCAATAATCAAAAACGGTTTTGATGACAATTAAATGCGTCGGTAGCCCCCCGGGATTGCTAGATCGGTCGGCGCCGGACCAAGAATTTAACCACCCGTAACTCCCGAACCCCGGGGGCTATACACGCAGCGGTGGTCTCATTCGAAAGAGGGCCTCTAGACGTACACTCGATTCGCGTTCGAGAGGGTTCCTTGAGCTGAAGAGATCCCCCGAATTTGGTGCGGATTCGCTGCACCGTTACGGAGATACGGCCGTTCAAAGTTTCAGTGGTTTTCCATTGACTTGAGCTTTAAAGCATTTCATCCAGGTTGCCAGTAGCAAACAATGGAGCGCTCTCTGCTGGACAAACTAAGTAATTACACCATTTCAAGCATTTTATCTGCATTATATGTTCTGTAAAAAAAATTCATATCAGCGGCATATTCGCCGATACTGATATATCGGCAACAGGCTCATATCGGCCGATAATATCGGTAAAACTATATATTGGTTGGGCTCTACTTCTGACCACTGAACATTGCTACCTTACTGCAGTTTTATTGATGTATGTTACATAAAAAATGTGAAAAACAATACAACTACATTTATCTGTACCTTACTACAGAAAAAAAAGGTGTCTACAGTGCTAAAAAGTCAGTCCCTGCCTTGGGTTGAGTTTGACATTTGCAAGATTTTCTAAAAAAAATTTCCATACAACATTTTTGTACCTGACCTATGTATAAAATAAACAATAATTAAAACGCATAAAAAGGGTTGATTACTTAACATTCATGTCAGAACAAATGGGTGGCTCTTGGCCCAGATTTTCTGCCTATAGCCAAAAGTCTGTTTATGCAAGACTAATTAGTGACAGAATAATGACTCGAGAGTAAATTCTAGCTGAAAACATCCTTGATTCTGAACGTAAACGAAACTTGCATAAAGTGGTTCTATTTAAAAAAAAATGTGCTGACAACCTCAAAATTCCACAGACAAAATTATTTAGAGCATATGTTCACAGTAGAAGTGCAATCCAGGCGAGTCGTGTGTGCCATGAATCAGAGAGAGAGGTCAGACGTTAAATGGGTCAATGGTTTAATAAAATAAAATTACTACACTAAACAAAAAAACACACGGCCAATACCGATATGGTGGCCGATATATCGTGCATCCCTACATACAATCAATATGCGACTGGAGCTTGGAGGAAATAGAGCAACTAATATGGGAAACTTGATTTCAATTTAACCTCATAATGCCCTCAAGCAGTTTGGACTGAGCTAATCAAGACCCTGGTTGACACAAACACACACACACACACACACACATTTAAAGATTTGGAATTTACACAGAAAGAAGAACCAACCAGAATGAACGTTCCTGCAGCACTTCAAGAAAGAGGGTTTTTTCCAACATGCAAATATGAAAAACAAATTTGAAGACCTTTTGACTAGTGTGAAAAATAGCGACAGCTTTCAAGATTTTAAACAAAAAGTTATTCTTTTTTTTTTTGTTAAAAGGATCCATTTGGGAGCTAGCCTGCTCCTCCTTAAAATCATACATGAAGCTGCATCGTTTTGGGTTTCTCCAAACAAAGCATTTTTGCTTGGTTAAAAAAAATAAAATACTGTGAGGTCAAAAGTTTGAGACCACAGAGAAAATCTGGGATTCTTAAGCACGTCAGTCAAACACAATCAAACAAAAGATTATTACACATACTTCAGAGGTCAACCAGAGTCCTTTCTTCAAAATCACTTGGCAAAATAACTAGTAGTGCAGTAGTTAGCATGTTGGGAGAGGCTGCTGAGATTCCTCACATATTTTCAGCCCTTTGCGTGATGTCAAGAGACATTGTAAGGAGAAAGCTTATTCAGAACTGGTTCTATTTTTGTTTTCTATAAAAATACAGAAACAAAATTATTTTCATGCATCGGTTATTATTAATAACAGGTCTTCACCGTCTGCATTCTTTCACTGATGTGGAAGGAACATCATAATGGAGCACTGTAATAATATTTCCTTCACCACATGAGTGCTTGAACCAAATGTGATGTTATCAGTTCAAATTAGACTCAATCATTCACTTAATCAATCCTAACGGTTCTTCAGTGAACTCAAAATGAAACGATTTTGATTTAGAAATGTTCTTAATTATGTACAATGCCATTGAAAAGTTTGGGGTCTGTAAGAGTGAGGCTCCGGCTGGCAAAAATAATGTAGTTGATGTCTATTAAAATCCATTGCATTAAGAAACATGTAATCTTTGCAGACTAAGAAGTGCACTACTAATCAACTGACAGTTATTAGGCCACCCTTTAGTTGTTAAACAACACGACAAGGCCACCTGTAGAGCAGATTCCCACATATGAGGAAAACAGATCAGTGTTAAAGATCCCATTGAAACCTGAGATCAGTGAGAAATGTTCACCTATTGTCACTTTGCCTGTACTGATTTTGTTTGCAGTCAAGACCCGACAGGACCAAGCAATGTCCACTCACACCTGTGCAAAGTACACTTATTACTCTAACACACTTCCATACTTCCTGATGGGTTCAATTTCCAATCCAGCGCTTACATAACTCTGTGACAACATGATGAATTACTGACGAGAGGGGGGAGGCACTCAAGGCCACGAAAGCAACCGGTCTGCCAGCCGGCCGGCAGCCCACACCACACATTTACTCTAACCTACAGCTGGGAAAACAAATGACCATTATGCCCCATGTAACATGTATCTAAAAGTAAAAACCCATACTTTTTCCTTTGAGTCTCAGTGCTTATGTTCTCAACAAAAAGTAAATGTAAAAGGGACATGTTCTAACACATCTTCCACTCGAGTATGTATCTTAAGGAGGTTTTGTTTGAGATCAAAAACTCTGCCCTACGGTGTTATACAATTAAGACACATCATTCGGAAAATCACATGGATGACAAAAAAGATCTAAGAGAAAAGATCTAAAAGAGTTTTGCTAAAAGCCATATTAACCAGTCATAAAAAATGTAGGCCTACTTCTGAATGTGCAATTTGCTTTTGGCTACTAACAATACAAGCATGAGCCAATGGGTTGGTCACCCGACAAAGAACGTAGCTAATAAAACAAACACAACTCTGACTCCCTTACTAATTCCAGTAGTATAATAAAAATAACTGCTAATAAAAATACAGTAGTCAACAACCTGAAATCGAGAGGCGTAAATATGGAAATGAAGCTAACCCAAAACAGGATTTGTAGACAACTTCTAACATTTGCACTTTATTCAAAGCAGCAGAGTCGTGCAGTAGAGCATGACAGTACAAAACTGGTACTAACCTAACGTTTTCCACTTTAATATTTGTTAGCCTAATACCTGCCTAACTTCTTGCAAGGGAGGTGCTTCTTATTAAAGCTGCGGTAAAAGCATTAAAAGGTGCACTCAGTAAGTTTTTGTTAGTCTTTAGCCTGGCTCTTACTCATCTTACAACAGTTTTGGAATTGACACTATTATTGTTGTTATTAATAATAGTATTAAATCGGGTCATCGCACAGCGTGTCATGTGATGTAAACATGACGGCGCCCATAAGGGGGCGACCCGCTTCGTGTTAAATAAAACGACTTTTTCTAGAAAACTGACATGGTTTGGACTCTCCATCTTATTTGAATGCATATCATTGTAATACGACGTGCGGTTTATTTATTTAAATATAATTTTTTATTCATCAGCTAAAATAACTGAGTATACCTTTAAAGGGGCTTCTTTGGAACTGAGCCACAGCAACTAGTACAAACTGTGTTAAAAACAATCCAAAACGTCAAAGCCACTTACACCCGAGAGGTAAACAATAATACTGTAGTGGCAGAGCAGGGAGTCATTAATCTTGACGTAAACGCCTGGAATTTACTGGTTTGGACAAGTCGAGCCAGTTTGCGACACTGGCGCCTAGTCAAATATTCATCTGATCGCAAGTTTTTTTTTTTTCTTTTTTCCACTTGGATACAGTTTCTTCTTTTAAAATGACGCTAAAGTAACTCGCTTGCGCCGTTTCATTGGAAACGGAAACGCGAAGTGACACTATAACTGATTCATAAGAAGCGAGTTGAACTCACCCATACTGTCCTTCGCTACGAGACCGTCTTGATCTGATGTGTACAATCTGCCGTCCTGGTAGCTGATGTTAGCTAGCAGGCTGGATGCTAGCGTTAAATCCTACTTGTGCGTGGAATCGTGTTGATGAAGTGCTTGTTAGCGAGTTTATTTGCGTTACTAATCCATTCGACTTGGTTTTGACGTTGGCCTGTCGTTTAAGTACGAGGTATGATTCTTCAGAGTACTGTGCAGGAAGTTATCCCGAAGTCTCCACCTTTCTTAGATTTGCCTCCGCGATATTTCATCGGGAGGATCCCGCGAGAAGTCAGATTTCCTCGCTGGAATGCAAAAGGCTGTGAGGTGTGACATTTTAGTGTAAATGGTTTATTAAAGCACAAATGGCCATATCCACGCAAATATTGCAGTGATTTACCAATATAAAAATATAATATATATTTATAATATAATGTTATATTATACCTATACATAGTTATACTTTGCTAATTTGTACAGCAAACATTGTAAATTAACTGGAAATATACTCGTATTTTTTATTGTATATAAGAAGGAATTTTACTTGAAGTGTATTAGTAATGAAAAAGGCGAATTTTTGTTTATCATGTCTTAAATATTTTAATACAAAAAAGGATGATGTTGCATTTACATTGGGGTGGGGGATACCAGTCAATCTGCAGTCACTTTCTCATGATTTTGTCAACAGAGTATGTAGGCGGTGAAGTAGCTGTGAAATCTCGTCTTCTCTCAGCCGAATGTCTCTCTGTGGCTGAATTATTTGCATTAAATTTGGTTATTAAGCTGTTAACGGTAAACTGAAATTGCCTCAATCAAAGCCAATTTCCATAACCATGTATTTCCCTAAGTCTTATGGCAGGTTTAAAATGATATCTGCTCAGCCTATGTTCATGATTACAGAACAACCACAAAGAGTTACATTTACTGAGAAAGAATGGTAGCATTACACTACTACGACTTACACTGGAAGAGGGCTTATTAGCATCATCTGAAGGTAACATGAGACCCTTTTTATACAAGGCCTACAACATAGTGGAATAATATGCAAACTAATTTTAACACATTTTTGTATTCTGTTTAGGATATGAACCATAAAAAACTGAGGTTTGTTTGAAATGTATACAATATAAGTGACGTGACATGTGGCCAAGTATGGTGACCCATACTCGGAATTAGTGCTCTGCATTTACCCATCCAAAGTGCACACACACAACAGTGAACACACACACACCATGAACACACACCTGGGGCACTGGGCAGCCATTTATGCTGCAGCGCCCAGGGAGCAGTTGGGGGTTCGGTTCGGCTCAAGGGCACCTCAGTCGTGGTATTGAAGGTGAGAGAGAGCGCTGTACATTCACTCCCCCCACCTACAATCCCTGCCGGTACTAGACTCGAACCCACAACCTTTGGGTTACGAGTCCGACTCCTTAACCATTAGGCCATGACTTCCCCCTTAGTAGAACCATGGTGATATAGATCACATGGTGCTGGCACTGGTAGCAGCACTACATTTATTATTGTTATAGTGAAAACCTATGCAGTAAACATGAAAAATAATATGCAAAATGGTCAGATTATATTATATTTATGAGAAAGCAAGTAACCAAAAAAGTTCAGAGAAAAGCTCTGTATCATTCTGTGATGTACTTTTAGAGGCTATTTTGACAATCTATTATTTACAACATGTTTAAAACGTAATATTCTATTGTATTACATGACAATTCATAAAACATACATTTGCTGTGAACTGTACCAAATATTGACACACACACACACACACACACACATCCACCCACAATTTACATCTATCTACATAATAGATATCCATCTAGTGGGGTTGTAAGATCCAATGGTTTCCTAGGAATGGAGCTCCAGAATGAAGTCATGCTTTCCATGTCCTCCCTAATCCCTAGACATAAACAACATTGAAACTTTATGAGTAGTTCTGAAGCACAGATCTTAGATTTATATGTGCTTAATCTATCCCCTCATAAACACAGTTCAGAACTAGTAACAGCATTCCAAGACTGTTGAAGGGCAAAGGGTGGCCGTACTCCTTAGTAGGTCCTTAATATATTGCTTGATGTTTCAGTTAGTTTGTTTTGTTTCCCCTCTTTATACAGTCCTGTGAAGTGAGTGGCATTTCTTTCAATATATTCCTGTGGTTTTTGTCTCTCTCTGCTGGGCACTCTAAGTAAGTGCTTAGACCTGCTTTCTTTTAAACCATTGAAACATTCACTTTAAATTGCCTTAGTACCAATTGGGTAAACTTATCTAGTCCTAATCTTTTGCCTCCCTTAATTAAATGTCATTATTTATTGTATAAATGCTTTTCAAAATCAAATCATTAAATAAGGTTCACGATATTGTAAAATTCTCAATATATGTATGTCTTCAAAATTGTTTTTTTTTCAGCCAGCAGAGGGCAGAATATGAACAATTTACAAAACCAAGACAGGGTGGAATGACGCTGTAGTTTCTTTTATATTAATAGTGTATTTTCTTTAACTTACTTTCTGTTCTCCATATGACTTTAAATGTCTTAGTTTGCACAAGAAATCAAATCAATCAAATAATATAATATAATATATAATAATGATTTACACATAATTTGTAAGGCATTTTGAGTATTGCTGTTCTAATTATTGACATATTGACATAATGACTGATTATAAATATAATTATAAAATATAATTTGGTTGTGTAGCTTCAGACATATTCATGATCTGAACTACTACAGACACATCGCTTTATATCCTGTAGCAGATGCGAACACAAATCTGGTGTCAGCACACATAAACATTTTTTTTGTAAAATACTAAAGCTTTCGTGGTGTGTGAGTGCACAATGGCACAAATAAGCATATTGTTGTACATTTCAGCATGGATGCACTAATGTTAGTCAGAGCAAGGCATTATGTCTTACCCCATTGTCTAACTCACTAACCCACTTAGAGCGAGTTCCCGGGGCAGAAACAATGTGGCACGTGAGAGCATTTCCCCGTTTCATCCTTTTAGTTCTCAGATGCACGTGTAGGCCTGTGCCAGATGGTGTGCTCTTCATCTGCCAGTGGGCTCTGAGCTCTGCCTGTCTGAGACACACTGGAAATGATCTCCTGTCCTTGTGCCAGTGACACAAAAGAGCCATATGCTGTTTGCATATGTCTGAGGCCTGAGAATGACTGTTTGGATGAGGTACTTTCTTTCAAACAATAATGCAAATGAGACTGGACAGTGTAGGTATAGGCATAGACCTACTTACATACATTCATGTGTGTACATACATGAATTATTTCTAATTTAGTTTCGGTATTTTATTATGATTTTTATTTATTTAGTAGTAATAATAGTAATAATTCTAGATATGTTTTAAAATCGTGTGTATATGTATGTGTAATTGTGTGCATAACTACTGTATAATAGTGAGTTGCAACGCCATCGGTTTAACCAATGAGAAGTTAGCTACAAGGGTGACATCACTCATATATGACCACCACCCTGAGGTGACAATAAAGTGTAAAAATATTTTATTCAAATTTCTACATAGATAGCTCTGTAATATGTAATCATTACACAGCATAAATTATATGATTTAACATAAATGTATGTAAATGTAGGCCTATAATATATTCAACATATGTAATATTTTTATATAAAAACCTTAATAAATAAGTTATTATTTACATATGTTTTATATCTGTCTTTTGTATGTTTTGTTACATTTTTTGCGTGTGTGCGTGTGTGTGTGCATGTGTGTGTGTGTATATACACACACACACACACTCCCGTATAAAAGTTTAGGATCAGTAAGATTTTTAATGTTCTTTTTTTTTAAGTTTCTTATGCTCATCAAGGCTGTATCTATTTGATCAAAAATACAGAAAAAATTAGAATTTTTTTAAAATGTTATTTAAAATAACAGTTTTCTATTTTAATATACTTTAGAATATAATTTATTCCTGTGAAGCAAAGCTGAATTTTCAGCATCATTACTACAGTCTTCAGTGTCACATGATCCTTCAGAAATCATTCTAATGCTGATTTATAATCATTGTTAGAAAGAGTTTTGCTGCTTAATAGTTTTTGGGACCTGTGATACTTTTTTCAGGATTCTTTGATATTAAAAATAAAGTTAAAAAGAATAGTGTTTATTCAAAATAGAAATGTTGTGTTACAATATACACTGCCATTCAAAAGTTTGGGGTCAGTAATTTCTTTCTTTCTTTCTTTTTAAAGAAATTAATACTTTTATTCAGTAAGGATGTGTTCAATGGATAAAAAGAGATAATATAATAATAAAAAGATTTCTATTTTGAATGCTGTTCTTTTTAACTTTTTATTCATCAAAGAATCAAAGAAAAAAGTATCACAGGTTCCAAAAAAATATTAAAGGGGTCATATGATGCTGCTATAAAGAACATTATTTGGTGTACAAATAATGCTGTGTTTATGCGGTTTAAGGTTAAAAAAACATTATTTTCCATATAATGTACATTATTGTTTCTCCTCTATGCCCCGCCTTTCTGGTCGATTTTTACAAAGCTCATCGTTCTAAAAAAGCGAGGTGTGCTCTGATTGGCCAGCTATCCAGTGTGTTGTGATTGGCCGAATACCTCAAGCGTGTGACGGAAATGTTACGCCCCTACCATACTGTGATGCCCTGTCCGGCTGGAGCGACGAGACAAAAACATTAAAACCCATTATAAACGAGGCATTTGTTGCATCCAGTGGGGACATAATTAGAGATTATGATGACTTATACTGTCTTTTTACGCGTTGCGTTGCATCGCGCCGCGTAAACATAACAACAATACTACAGCGAGAATAAAAGTTACGCCTTCTTTCTTTGCGTGAACATTTGGACGGCGTTATGCAAATCTTCCCACATAGTGACGTAGACATGTGGGGGCGTGTTAGAACGAGCCGTTTTAGGTAGGCGTGGCTGACTCTTAACTTTTATAAAGAATATCTCTTTGGATTTGAGACTTTAGTCTTTGCAACTTTACAGATCTTCTTTATGCACCAAGAGCTTGTAACACTCCAAAGAGAAAGGAAAAATTTAAATCGCATCATAAGCAGCACAACAGTTTCAATATAGATAATAAATCACCATATTAGAATGATTCCTAAAGGATCATGTGACACTGAAGACCAGACTAGTAATGGCTAATGAAAATTCAGCGCTGCGTCACATAAAATAATTATTTTTTTAAGTACATTAAAATAGGAAACCAATATTAGAAATTGCAATAATATTTCACAATAATACTGTT